ATGCGCACCATCTGAGAGTTGGACATGCTTGAAACTCGGTCTTTGGGGGGAGTGATGGCAAGGGCAACATACATAACCTAAACATCTGTACCCCCATAGTATGCTGAAATTAAAAAAAATTATTTTGGTGAAAAATAAGAGAAAATATATTTCCCCTATTATAACAGTTGTTCATTGTAATTTCCCAATGAATGGTCAGGATAGAACTAGAGTTACTTCTGTAGTTCTGCTTCCTCTTGGGATAATGTCATTAAGCTCCATAAGATGGTCTCAGGCAGTACTTTCCAGCTCCTCGGAGTCTGTGGCGAGAATCCCTCCTTGCCTCTCCCAGCCTCTGATGGCTGCCGGCATTCCTTGGTTTGTGGCAGAGTCACTCCAGTCTCTGCTTCCGTGGTGACAGTGCCTCCTCCTCTTCTGTGTGTGTCAACGCTAAGGATACACATGGTTGGAAGTAGGACCCACCTGGAAGATCCAGGCCACTCTCTTTCATTGAAAAGTCCTTAACTCAATCACACCTGCACACTCACTCCCTGCAGGAAGCATACTTTAGAGGCAGAGCAGAATGTTGAACACTAGTCAGTTGTTACCTTATTGACCTTGACCAAGTTCCTTGACCTCTTTGAACTTTACTTCCTTCATGTGAAAATGGAATTAATACATGCCTATCTCAGAGAGTGTTTGAAAGGGTTAAGAGAAATGATGTCGATTCAAATGTTATTCCTTGATTTCTCTTTCCTTTCCTTGCGTTCAAAGCTTTGTTTTGACTCATTTTGTATCTCCAGAGGTTAGCACGATCCCTGGCACAGAGTGGTTGCCCAGTAAATGTTTACCAAGTAATTTTCTGTCCTCTGAAGAACAGCGTGGTCTTACACCGTCGTGTGCTGAGCCCACAGCTGGGACAGCTTGGTGATGATGGCCCATCCAGAAAGCTCCTGTGTGTGACAGCTGAGTGTCATTAATTTAGCAAAGTGGGGAGACGTGTGCAAAGGAGAACCCCCAGTGCTGTGGTTTCTGTATAAATACACTAAACGGAGTGTATGATGCAGGAAAAGAGCTGTCAGTCAGAAAGGGAAAAACTAGAGATGGGGTGCAATGAGTGTCTAGATGTCTACACACACACGTGCACACTCTCACACTTCATAGAAGACTGATTTGTCTGCCTCGCTGCCATGTGGTATTTGGGCAGTGTGCTCACAATCAGTGTAAGTGTCTGCCTCAGAGTGTGGCCTGGTTCACGTCCCCGTGAGGTTCCCCCGACTGGATGTTCCCTGAGAACAGACATTAGTGGTGCAGTGACGTGTGTCTTCTGTGGCTGCTCGGTCAGCATTCGTAGGTGGTGATAACAGACTGAATGCCGGAGTTCAACCTTCCTGACAACAGAGGAGAGTGTTACTTTGGGGGCAGGGACAGTTATTGATCCAGCCTTGGCCTTGGATCATGAGTCATTTGGTTTACAGTGTTCCTGAGTCACTGGTTGTCCTGAAGATCACCTGCTGACTCATCAGTGCCTTTGTGTCCTGGAGGCCTCCTGCAGTGGTGCATAGGAGTGCAGGAGCCCTGGGCTGCGGGTGGGGGTGGGTCTTCCACCTGCTTCAGGCTTCTCCAGGGCCCCTCTGGCCTAGCCTGGCTGGCTGTTGGGAGCAGCAGGAGGTACACAGGGAAGTCCAGGAGGAGGGACAAGGGAGAAGCCACATCCCAGCAGGTGTGGGACAGTGAGAGCAGCTCTAGCAGCAGATGGAGCAAAAAAGGAATGCTCTGAGTCTACATGCACCATTGAGAACAGGCTGTGTCAAGGCCTGTGGTGGGCGTTTAAGACTTTTACTTATTAATAATACGTGACATTTGATGCCTATCTAGGATTAAACTAATCCTGTTAATCCCTGTGATGCTTTTTGGCTATTCCTATCAGGTACTTGTGGCATCATGTTGGCAGACCTTGAAAGAGATCTTTAGTGGAGTGAAAAACTAAATGTATTTAACTAGGAAGGAGTAAGTAGAACAGACATGAGTATTTGGGGTTCTAGACAGTATTGGAGTTAGGTGAATGCAAATGTTGGAAATGGAATCTGGATCCTTAGAGAATTTCTAAAGTGTCGGGAGAGGAGATCTGCAGACCAGAGCAAAGGAGAACAGCATCCCAGCGTATAGAATCAAACTATCAGCCTCATGGTGGAGAGTGAGTGGTTCATACAGGGAGGGGTCAAAGTGGACAGCCGATGGGGTGGCTTCATGCATTCACTCAGTGCAGATGGAGAGTATTTCTGGACCAGGGTCAAGTTCACACAGGAGGATGAAATAGAGTCCCTACCCTTTTCAAGCATATCCAGTAGCAAGGAACTAGATTAGCAAACAGAATACAGCAAGTTCAGGACAAGCATGAGAGGCTGCTGTAGGAGGAGGGAGTTGTGAGCTGAGCCCTTCCCGCCTAAGCAAAGGAGAAGTTCTCTGGGCTTAGGTTAATCTCACAACTGTATGGGGCAAATTGGAGCAATCTTTAAATCCCTTTCTTCTGTGCTGCTTAATCTGTTTAAAGTAACTACTAAGGGAAAAGATGCTTTTGAATTATGATGATTGTACTGTTATCGACAGATCGTAGCCAGTAACTCTATTTTCATTTTCTCCTTAGTGTCAAATCAACAGTGCCTTGACTTCTTTCCACACTGCTTTGGAACTTGCAGTCGATCAGAGAGAAATTCAACATGTGTGTCTGTATGAAATTGGTAAATATGCAGTGTCTATCCAGCTTCTCGTTATAAAGCAGTATTAATACTTTTTCGTGTGGTTTTTCATTATTCTTGCCATTCAGTTTGTGCGTTTGCAAAATGCTTGCTGCCTTATGTAATAGTAAGGACTTCGATTATTATCACAGCACGTGCACCGATACTTACGTCTCCGAATCTCATTACTTCTTTATAACATTTTGTTCTTTACAGCATTTTGATTTTAGCATAATGTGTAATGTTAAATGAATTGATTAAATAAATAATCGTATATAAATACCTTCTTTGTGCATTAGAATTCACAGCTTTGTTCCTCCTTCCCACTAATGTTTACTTGAAAAGAAAAATAGGGCATGAGAGAGAGTTGGACTCCAATCCCAGCTTTTTCATCAGCTAGCTCTGCGACCTTGACCTTGGACAAGTGGCCCAAACCTTCTGAGCCACATAGTTGCCATTGGAGTTAAGGGGCCTCCCCTTGTAGCCCTTGTGAGGCTTAGATGAAATAACGTGTCCGAAGCCTCATGCTGGATGCTTGGCGCACAGAAAGTCCCCCATCCATGTTAGCTGCTACCTTCTGCTCCTCCCCTACTGGATGTAAATTTATAAACAAACTTGGAAGTATTTATTTGCATAAGATTTCCCCCCCTCCTTCTCCAGAGTTGTTGCCATGAGTCTTCGGGTGACTGCACTAAAACTCTCTGATCCTGTTACATTAGTCATTTCAAGATCCTTTCATGTAACAGTTTCTCCATTGTGCTGAGAAGAGTAAACAAAACTTTGGGCTTGCAAGAAACCGAAGAAATATTGTTAAATAAGGGGCTCATACTTTTTGGAACTGCAGCTTAGCTCATACTACAAGGTCACATCACATAGCTCATGGAAGAGGAATGACAGAGGAGGAGGGCGAGGAGAAATGACGAAGTAGTGACAGAAATCCAAAGGGGAATTGGAACTCAAAAAACTGTCTGCAGAGGGACAGGGAAGCAGAATGGAGAGTGCTGGGGAAGCAAGTGGCACCTGTCAGTTTGGGGCCCTATGGACATAATTGTCTTCCTGAAGCCTTTTACAGAAAACTGCAAACGAAAAGATTAGGAACTTCCTGACAGACAATATTGCATTTTAAATGCCTGTTGTGGTTTAGGAAGAGGAAATGAAGTATAATCCAGTGGAAAATGTATTTTTATGTCATCTAAACTCTGCTGGAGTTCTGTTTAGTAGCCATAATATAGAATGAAATGTGTTTCAAAGAACTTGAATTAAAAAGTCTAGCTTCAATGGCCCTTTTTGGTGCCTTTCGAGATCTATGGCAGTATATAGCATTAGAGCTAAAGGAAGCTTAGAAATCAGCTAACTCAGGCCTCAGGGAGGTTAACTCAGGAATAAGTATTAATAGCAACTCAGGCTGCTTCTTCAGGCTCAGTGCCACCTTCCATCTCTATTTCATATTTAATTCAAGTCTTACCCCGATATCTATCATAGAATAAAAATAATTAGCCCAAATGTTTACTCTAAACTCTGTCAACATCATATCCTATAGAATTTGACAGTGAATTTTCTGGAAGTGTGTATTTCTCCACCCCCTATAATTTAAATGACAAGTCCCAGATTACACAATTACTTAGTGATGCATTGGATACTAGATTTTTTTTTTTATGGAGGCAATATTGTGTAAAGAAAGTGTGTTGGACTTTGATTCACAATTCTTCCTTCTTATTAGCTATGTGGCCTTGCAAATCTCTTGATACCTTAGGTTTTCTCCTTGCTAAAATAAGGACATGACCAGCCACCTTTGCCAGGCTGTAGGAAGGATTAGAAAGAGTTCTATCAAGTGCCCAGCACAGCATCTGGCACATACTCGAGGCTCAATTGATGGGAGACACTGTGATTAACAATGGGAATAAAATTCCTTCCATTTTAGTTGCTACTGTTCCTCAGCAGAATGCTGGTCTAACAGTGTTTTGATCCAGAAAAGATGGGGCCCTTCCTCAACTCCACTGCTGATGTGCAGAGGGAGGGTGGACAAGTATTTAATTTCTCACTGGCTTGCTGTCTACTTCCCACAAGGTTTTGAGAATTAGTAGTAATAATCATCTGGTGAGTGCTTTAAGACTTTTTGAGGAAGTCACTAAGTAAGTATATAATCCAGCAGTGTTGCTTCCACTGCTTCTTATTCTGCCCATGCCTCCTCTTGGAGAAGCACTGCGGTGCTTGGGTTAATTGCACAACTCTATGGAGCAAATTGGAGTGTCTTTCTAGAAATCTTCACGCCATTCTCTTCTCTACTGCTTTATCTGTTGTGAAATCTGAAGTGATTTATCTCACTCAAACTTTACATTGAAAGTATTTAAGGGAAAAAAAATAATTTCTTAAGTTTTCAGGTTAAGGTTTTTACGTGTTTCATAGAACGTTCGCAGAGAAAGATAGAAGTATCAGAAATTTGTAGCTTACATATGGGACACAGAGTTCATCACTACCTTGGGGTCGTGTGCTAAAAATATTTCTTTCCTAGGTTGGTGCAGCATGATAGAGCTCAATTTCAAGGATGCATTCGACTCCTTTGAGAGGCTAAAAAACGAGTCCAGGTGGTCCCAGTGCTATTACGCCTACCTGACTGCAGGTGAGTAGATGATGGTCTGCACGGTGTGCCCCTCTCTGTTATGAGTTAGCTCACCTGCCATCGGCAGACAGGAGAATGATGGCGGGGGGAAGCACGGTTGCACCCTTCCTTCGTGTTCCAAGCATGTTGACATTTTGCAACCAAGCAAATAGAAGTCAGAGTACTGTGTTCACCGACCCAGCTGAACACTGAGCAATTCAGCAGTGTCCCGGGTCCCCTTCTCACCCCGTTTCCCCTCCGGGCCCAGTTCCATCCTGTACTCGGTGTTGGATGTGGTTATTGCAGGGTTTTCCTAGTCTTCGTACATTTCACCCTAAACAGCCTCAACCTGCTCTTACCCCCTTTCTTTACATGCTATATTTTTTATTTATTAGGAATCTGAAGAATTTTTAGGAATTGAGCATGTCTTTTTCATTGTGTTAATATTTGTTTGGTTACAAAGTTGCACAGGTTTTGAGTCATCTGCTCCAACCTTGTTTTACCTATGAACCCTGTTATGTTTACAGTGCGATATTGCAGAATGCGAGAGATTTCAACACTGCATATCATCACAGCAGGAACATTTGTAATTTGTTTGGAATTTGAACGTTTCTTGCGTTTTTGGCCCTCGTATGAGATAGTTAAAGATGTGCTGCCACCTGGTGGACAAAAAAGTTGTCTGCGCCCTGCTATGCATAAAGTGCCATGTGATTCAGAATTATAGAGGGATGGAATTGAAGAAAACCAAGAGGTTATACATTTTCTGCCTTTAAGATGAATTCTCTTTATGCAGCCACATAAGTTAATCTTTTACTTAAAATTCAAGACTAATTCAAACATTATTTTAAATACCTCCAACATCTTTCCCTTTCATTCCATCCCCTTAACTGATCTTATTTAAAATAAGATAGAATTGTCCAGGTGTGGTGGCTCACGCCTGTAATCCTAGCACTCTGGGAGGCCGAGGCGGGCGGATTGTTTGAGCTCAGGAGTTCGAAACCAGCCTGAGCAAGAGCGAGACCCCCGTCTCTACTAAAAATAGAAAGAAATTAATCGGACAACTAAAAATATATAGAAAAAATTAGCCGGGCATGGTGGCGCATGCCTGTAGTCCCAGCTACTCGGGAGGCTGAGGCAGAAGGATTGCTTGAGCCCAGGAGTGTGAGGTTGCTGTGAGCTAGGCTGACGCCACAGCACTCACTCTAACCAGGGCAAAAGAGTGAAACTCTGTCTCAAAAAAAAAAAAAAAATAAGATAGAATTGATTAACATTGGCCAATAAGTATGTCCTGGAAATCTTAAAATCCCTGTAAAATTATATCAGTCCATTAGCAGTCAGTACAAACCTCTTTATTGCAGTCCCCATAGGGCATCCATGTTCTATGGTTCTCTGTCTGATGTTCGAATAGGGTTATTTTCGATATACTGGATAGGGTGCTATGTCTCACACTTAAAGGGTTGTTTATAGAATTTGAAGGCATCTCAGATGAAAGGAGCAGCTGTTTATTGAGCAGCCTCGGTGTGTTCAACATGCTGAAGAGTGGGTGAGCCCTGATTGCATAGCTCAGAGAAGAGAGGCCTGCACACAGCTCAGTACTCATTAAGTGTAATTGGGTCGCACAAACAATGGCTGGCAGCTATTTCTTTTTAAATTTCCGTTGAACGCAGAAGAAATAAATGTACACTGTGGCTCTGTAAAGGAACATTTATTCTCCAAATATTTGGAAATCCCAGGAGTATACCAGCTGTAGGAGAGAATAAGCATGGAAGATTCTACTCTCGATCTCTGCAAGGGGATTTTGGGGAGAGGATAAGATGGGAGGGGATAGCTCTGCTGCAGAGAGTACTTGAGGCAGGGAAGGAGCACTTTGTCCTGCTGTCAGAGAAGGCACCTTGCAGCAGCTACCGTTAGAGTTGGCGTGAAGGATGGGGTACCTGTAGACAGGTAGAGCTGGAGAGGATGGGACCAGAAACACTGCCACTGGGACCTAGTTCCTTGTACTATTTTTTATTGTGATAAAATATATATAAAAAATTTATCATCTTAACCATTTTTAAGTGTACATGTCAGTGGCATTATGTACACTCACATTGTTGTGTAGCCATTACTTGCATCCATCTCTGGAACTTTTCATCATCCCAAATTCAATACCTGTTAATGACTAATTCCCCATTCTCTCCTCCACCTCAGCCTCTCCTTTCCACTGTTCTTTACTTTTCTTCTCTTATGAATTTGACTTTTCTGCCTGTCTTTTATAATTGGAATATATTTGTCTTTTTGTGTTTGGCTTATTTAGCATAATGTCTTCAAGGTTCATCCATGTTGTAGCATGTGTCAGAAACTTTTTCCTTTTTAATGCTGAATAATACTCCATTGTATGTATATACTGCATTTTATTTATTTATTTATTTATTTATTTTTTATGGGTGTACATATGTTTAGGTTACGTGTGTTGCCCTTGGTTCCCCCCCCCACCGAAGTCCGTGTTTCAAATATGTCCATCCTTCGGGTAGTGTGCATTGCACTCCTTGTGTATACAAATACCCGTCCCCTCCTCCCTCCTCCCCCCTCCTCCCGCCGCCCTTCCCGTGGTACAGATGATTAGGTTAGGTGTGTTGCCCTTGGTTCCCCCCCCCAACGAAGTCCGTGTTTCAAATATGTCCATCCTTCATCAGCCCATGGAACTTTCTCCAAAATTGACCACATACTAGGCCACAAATCAGACCTCAATAAATTCAGAAAAATAGAAATTATACCGTGTACCTTCTCGGACCATAGAGGCTTAAAATTAGAGTTCAACTCCAACAGAAATACTCGCCACCCCACAAAGTCATGGAAATTAAACAATCTACTGTTGACTAACTCCTGGGTCAAGGAGGAAATATATACTGCATTTTTATGCATTCATTCATTGATGGACATCTGGGTGGTTTCCACCTTTTGGCTATGGTGAGGGATGCTTATCATGAACATTGGTATACAAATATCTATTCAAGTTCTTGCTTTGAATTCCTGTGGGCATATACCAACAAGTGGAATTGCTATATCATATACATGTATAGGTACTATTCTCAAAACTATAAGTTATCAGAAAAGATTAGAATATCACATATGAGATGGTGTAAACTTAATCTTAATCGAAGAGCCAGGCATCAAAGTTCTGTTTAGGCCTCATATTTTAGGATAAATCAGAGACTCTCATGCTTTTAAACATCTGCATCTTTTAAAGCAACTGTGTATAATTTTACTGCAAGAGGAGTAGGTGGTGGTCATTCTCCAGGGTCTGAGGTATTGGAGTTGCAGACCTTTGGGGATGGTTCAGATGCTGACATGGTTGCTATTTATGACTGGCTTTCTTTCTCTTTGTTTGACTCTATAAGAATGTTCTCAGTGATCTGAGGAAGACCTTAAGCCTCGGGCAGCAGAAATTATTCTTTTTCACTGGTTTACTGTGTGACCTTAGGCAGCACTTAACTTTTCTAGAACTCTGCATCTTCTGATCTATAAAACAAGACAATCACTGGTTACACAAGACAATCACTGGGCTTCCTTCTGGTTTTGAAATGTTATAGCTCTAAGTGATGAGGTCATTTTGGATTTGTGCAGACCCAACATCTGGACCAGGGATGCTCAGTAACTGCAAATGGGGTTGTCCCTTCCTGCGACCATTCAGCCTAATCCTCTTCTCCCAGTAGGAATATTCTGTCTTTCGCATCCCCTTGGCATCCTCAGCTGCCTGCAATCCTTGCTGCTTCTGGTCTTTGGCTCTTCCCACAGTTGCCTGTCCGGTGACATACGTGGCCCTGTGCTCTGCTCAACCTAGTTTTAGGGGTGCTTGAATAAAGGAGGAGGAACTAGCAAATCAATTTTAGCACATTCCAATTGGGGAGCGAAAAACCACACATGACTAAGACAGTATCTAACAAAAAATGAGTAGAAATGGATTCATTGCCATAGAAGTTGAGAGGAAGGAGACAAAATTTCATTCAAGAAGTGGGGCTGAACCCAGGTGTGAATTGTGGAGAAGGGTGAGGGGAGCTGCAGCAAAGGGAGTATTATTACATGTTTGTGTGGGGCATGAGTTGAGAGGAAGATGGTGTACAGACCACCAAAATCTCACTCATTCTTCAAGACTCAGCTCGACTTCTCTAGCTCCTCAAAGCTTCTGATCACTCCAAACAGAAAAGGTCCCTTCTCTTTCTGAGCCTTTCTAGAAGCACTTGGGTTCTCCTACCCTAAGTATTCCCATCGCTGTATACATTGTAGCTGTGGGACTCTGCCCCAGTGTGTGTGTGTGTGTGTGTGTGTGTGTGTGTGTGTGATCTCTCCAATTGAAATTTCAGCTTATTCAGGGTGCAAGCATATATGTCTCTTCTTCATATTCTTTCTGGTGGCTTGTAGGTGGCAGGTAACTAATGAACACACAGAGCTGTAGTCTCCAACCTCCAGGCCATGGACTGGTACCAGTCCATGGCCTGTTAGGAACCAGGCCACACAGCAGGAGGTGAGCACCAAGAGAGCAAGCGAAACTTCATTTGTATTTACAGCCGCTCCCTGTTGTTCACATCATTGCCTGAGCTCCATCTCCTGTCAGATCAGCATTGATATTAGATTGTCATAGGAGTGCGAACCCTATTATAAACTGCGCATGCGAGGGATCTAGGTTGCGTGTTCCTTATGAGAATCTAATGCCCGATGATCTGAGGTGGAGCTGAGGCAGTGATGCTGGTGCTGGGGAGCGGCTACAAATACAGATTGTCATTGGCAGAGAGGTTTGACTGCACAATAAATGTAATGTGCTTGAATCATCCTGAAACCATCCCCTACCCTCCCCATCTATGGAAAAATTGTCTTCCATGAAACTGGTCCCTGGTGCCAAAAAGGTTGGGGACTGCTGATGTAGAGGACTAATCATGACTTTCCAGGATGGGGATATCCTCCTTCCTCCGTGAAGCTTTTGGAATCTTCTGGGCTCCTCATTGTTCTTTCCTAGATTTCTTTTTATTCTACTTTCTGAGCGTGTGGGCTTCAACTAAGTTGTACACTCTGACAACAGCTAGGGAGTTTGTTATGTGCAAGAGGACAAGGACCATGGCATTCCCATGTTCCCCCAAAGCTCTGGGAACACAGGCACCTGGGAAATAGTTGAACTGATGGCATGATGCCCAGCACGATGGTGCCGTCCTTTGTGTAATAGTCTGTAAGCTTGTTTGCTCCCATTTTTTCCAGGTGTCATTGCTCCAGGTATCCCTTAGTGGCATTTCCCCCCAGTACTTAAGAAATACAATTATGGTTTCTTACAGTGTGTCAGGGAGCCACAGGCGACGTGGATGGGGCACAGATTGTCTTTAAAGAAGTTCAGAAACTCTTCAAAAGGAAAAACAATCAGATTGAACAGTTCTCGGTGAAAAAGGTACGTTCGAGCCTATTAATCTGTATTATTTACGATTGGCATTTCTAGCCAACACTACCTTGGGCAAGTTTTAGGGAATTATATTCAAGGCTGGCAATTTACTTGCCACGTAAAATGTAGTTCACCACTATGGAGAGAATTTATTCCATGACATACCTCTGCTCTGAATAGGAAGTATTTGTTTTGCCGTAAAGAAAGCAGATTTTTTTTAATGGAGAGAGGCGTTAAAGACTGCCGAGCTAATGAATGTATCTCTAGAGAGAAATTATCTGTCTAAAGAATTAGGTAGTTTCAGAACACAAATTAGCAGAGCCTAGTGACAGATACAGAATGGTGTTCAGGAGAATGAACAGGTCACATTTGGACATAATAAAAAGCAAAAGTGTGCATCACACTTCCCAGCGGAAAGGCCCAGGACTATAGGAACAATGTCCTAAATTTATTCTGTACTTTTGACAATAAAATTTTGCTGAATTACCTTGAGTTACATAGCCTCATACATCCTGAATTTTCCATGATTTTAGTTTTGTGAGTTTTTATTGAATGAACATTTAATGAAGTTTTTTGAGTATAAGTTAGATTATAATGTGGAATGCAACTGAGACCACTGGCACTAAGTAGAAAATTAAACAATTAGTAGAACCATAACTAAAAGTTGTCTAGTATTAGATCATCCATATAACATCCTTTGAGTTATTATTTGTCTCCAAGCTTTATAAATTCTGTTGATTTAAACTAAAATGAATCCAGTCTCGTCCTCAAGTTTTCAGAATATATCCTGGATCTTGATAGTAGGTTGAGTTGAATGATGAATGAAAAGTATATCAATCAATATGTTAAAAACTGCAAGCAATTTTTAAAAATTTTTAAATTTTTTATTTTTTTATTTTTAGAGACAGAGTCTCGCTCTGTCGTAGCTCATTACAACCTTAAACTCAAGCAATTCTCCTGCTTCAGCCTCCCGAGTAGCTGGGACTACAGGCTCTTGCCACCACAACCAGCTAATTTTTCTATTTTTTATAGACATGGGGTCTTTCTCTTGCTCAGTGTGGTCCCAAACTCTGTAGCTCAAGCAATCCTCCTGCCTTGGCCTCCTAGAATACTTGGATTATAGTCATGAGCCACTGTGCCCAGCCAAAATTTTTTAAATATGGAGAAATTTTTATTTTTAGCTTTGAAGGAGAGGGCCATTCACATTGACTATGAACTGTGTACTTTTAATGTGTTCAAAGTATATTTTTTAATGTGAATTTGGTTTTGAAAAAATGTAGCCTAATCATCTAACTCCTTGCAGGCAGAGAGATTTCGGAAACAAACCCCAACCAAAGCACTCTGTGCATTGGCATCCATCGAAGTGTTGTACTTGTGGAAAGCTCTTCCAAACTGTTCCTTCCCCAACCTACAGAGGATGAGTCAAGGTAAAAAAAAATAAAATAAAATAAAAAAATAAACAAACACAAACAATACACATTGGCTTCTTTTGTCAGCGCAGTTTCTCCTTAATATTATCTCTTCAGTTTCTCCTTAATGTTATCTGATTCAGAGAGTAGAAATATATCCTCATTGTTGGATAAAGGGAGTAGTGATGATGAAAATTCCATGGCTTAGGAGACAGGAACGGGAGGCACTGGTGTGCACAGATCTGCTTGCCTTGTTAGGAGTACAGGGTTATGCTCTTACTATAAATGTTATTAATTCTATAGCCAGGGGGGTTGCTGGAAGCATACTTTTTCCCCAGTAAAAGCACTGTGTTTCATTTAGGTGTGATTCACACACATAAAAAGCACAAATATTAAAGTGTACTATTCAATGAGTTTTGACAAGTATATACACCCTGCTATCCACCACAGCAATCAGGATCCAGAACATTTCCACCACCCCTGAGATTTCCCTTGGACCCCTTCCCGATCAGTCTCCACTCCAAGGCAACCACTATTCTGATTTCTGTGTCCATAAATTAGTTTTGCCTGTCCTTGAACTTCATATAAGTGGAATCATACAGTATTTCCTTTTTTGTGCATGGCTTCATTTGTTCAGCGTAAGAACAAATGAGGTCAGTGAGATCTATCCATGTTGCAGCCTGTAGCAGTAGTGTGTTTCTTTCACTGGCTAAGTAGTATTCCGTTATATGGCTGTACTTACACCACAAATTGTTTATCCATTCTTCTATTGAAGGACATTTGATTTGTTTTTGATTTTTTAACTCTCATGAGTAAAGCTGCTATAGACATAAGTGTACAACATAAATTAATGAGTCTTTTGTGTGAACATACCTGCTCAATTCTCTTGGGCAGATACCTAGGAGTGTGATTAGAAGCCTATGTTTTTGATTCATGTATTATAAAAACCATAAGATATAGGTTGTGATGAGATAACCTTGATAAAGTCATTTTTATTAGAGTTGGAAAAGTTCACAGGGAAAATAAACTAACTCTTTAAATAAAACATAAAAAAATAACATTCTTCTGAAGGTTTAGTGGTAGACTTAAGAATGGCTCTTTGTATTCTAGCAAATGATTTGCTCCACACTGCAACCCAGAGAAGTAGAAAAGGCAGACGACACTGTCGCACCCATTTTGTAATGAAGAGGCAAACTCAGGTGACCTGCCTGGCTCTCTTAAGAGCCTGGGTGGGTGCTGCAGCTCCGCAGGCCACACACTGGGGAGCAGAGCTTTCCCCTGTCCTCCACACAGCTTCCTCTTCCTGGGAGTGTGAAGATTTTGAAATTATGCAGCTCGAAGTGTGATTATAAGATGAGAACTGCTATGTTAAAATAAAAACACACATCCAAAGGATGGTTCATAGAAAGTAATTACCTTTGGAAATATATTCTTATATATATGCTGCCCTTTCCAAAAAGAGATTTAGTATTGATATTTTGGACATAATATTCCATAAATAGTTTGTAAACCACTGTGGAAAATTTGTCAGATTTTTCTTCGATAATTCTTGTTTTTGTCTAAATATGGCATGAGCCATTAAGTCATATATTTTTATCATCAGACCTCTCTGCGAATGCCTTTTACTTATTTCTTTTAAAAAAAATCCTCCCTCAAAGGGTCAAAACATTGCCAATGTTGCTATTCTAGCAGCCAAAGGAATGAAACTCCATAAGAAGTTTTGCATAGTAGCCTTGTAATTAGAGTAGGTGTATAACCCTTTGGAGGAGCAACTTGAAAGGAAACAGTTTTCTTGGATGTGTTAAATTCTGCAGAGTTCATTTAAAAAGGATTTGCATAATTTAAAACCCATCCCTTGTTGTTGAAGCAAGTTTAAGACATCTACCAATGTCTAGCTCAAAAAATAATGAAGGATCTTAAGTATTTTTTTAATGTTCAAGTGCAAGATCATGTATTTAGAGATAAAACACAAATGCAAAGATAAGATAGGCAGTAACTGAAAGGCACAAGAACAATTAGCACTTAAGTAAGATTTGACTAAATGTTCTCTGAACCCCTTTCCAGGTATCAAAATAAACTAACAACAAAGATTTGTGTTCGTGGAGAGGGAGACAGTCTCTGGAATGAACATGAGATAATTCTCTAATATCTTTGTTAAAAGTTAACCCAATTCTGAGATCTATTATTTACATTATGTCATTCTCCAATGTTAAGCAATAAAGATACAAATCAATCCAACCGTGTAGAGTATGATGAAGGTCTTTGCAGAGAAAATGTTATGTTCCAGAACAAACTGAGAGCGGGCAATGTGTATAATAACATTTATTAAACTTTTTCCAAATGCCCTTCTGGTTTTGTGCATTCAACTTGTCAGAGTCCCCATCTGTAACTCCCTTTATCAGCAGAGCTAGTTTGGTCCTTATATCCTTGTCTGGTGGTTTCATTCAAAGCCCTTCCCCTACCCATCTGTTCTTCTTCACTGCATTTTTCCTCTGCATTTTAAAGATGCTCCTTTGTACTCTGAGCACAATGGGCAGAGTGATCCTGTTAAAACCTAAGTCATATTATGTCAGCCTCCTTCCCAGAACCCTGTGTCATATTCAAAGTAGAAGTCCAAGTCCATTCAGTGGCAGGCAGTGCCCACAGTCTGGAACCCCCAATGCCACTGCCTCTCCCTGCTCTTCCCTTGCTCACTGGGCTCCGGCACACTCCTCCTGCTCTTGAACACACCTGGCGCACACCGGCCACAGTGCCTTTGCACTTGCTCTTCTCTCTGACTGCAAGTGCTCTTCCCTCAAACCTCCATGTGGCTCCTTCACTCATTCCCTTTCAAGTCTTTATTCAGAAGTTACATTTCCAGGGAGGCTCAAACTGCCATTCCCACACACAGACACACACTTCCAATCCCCCCTTCCTGGCTGTACTTTTTACCTTAGCATTTACAGGTACTCAACAAACATATTTTAACTATTTGTCTTTTGTGTTGTCCATCTCCCCCACAAAATGAAAGCTTCTTAAGGGCAGGGATATCTTTTTTCTCTTGGCAAACATTTTATTTATTTTTAGAATCAGTGTTTTTATTTGTTTGTTAGTTTGTTTATTTATTAGAGATAGGTCTTGCTATGCTGCCCAGGCTGGACTCAAACTCAAGTGATCTCCTGCCTTAGCCTCCTGAGAAGCTGGGACTACAGGCACATGCCACTGCACCTGGCTTGTTTCTATTTTTTAAGTAATTCACAAACTTACAAAAATAGTCAAACTGTACAAAGGGGTATGGAATGAAATGTAAGTGTCCCTTCCATGCCAGACACCCGGTCTCCTCCTAAGACACAACCACAGCTCATGGTTTTTAGAGTGACCTTTCTGGAGATCTTCTCTGCCTTTGTACGGATAAATGTGTGCGCGCACGCACATGTGTGTGTGTGTGTGTGTGTGTGTGTATGCGTGTGTGTATGTGTGTGTACGCATGCAATTACTCAAATGGCAACATTCTCTACATACTATTCTGCCCTGTGCTTTTGTCATTTAACAATATCTTGAGATCATCTAATACCAACACATAGATCTACCTCATTTTTTTTAATGTCTTTGTAGTATTTCTTTTTTTCTTATTTTAAACTTTAGTGGAACAATCCTGAAGGACTGTCTTTGTAGTATTTCAAACTGTGAATATTGATAATTTATTTAACTGGTCTCCCCAGTGAGCACATAGGTTGTCTCCAGTCTTTTGCTACAAAAATTGACTACACTGTGCTTCAGTGCCTGTACTTACACATATATCTGTGCATCTATGTGCCTGTATTACCTGTAGGATAAATTCCTAAGAGTGGAATTTCTGAGTCAGAAGGTATGTGCTGTTTAAATATTTTTGTAGATTTCACAAATTTCCCTCTAAGAACATTATACCCATTTACAATCCCCACAATAATTTTTTATTATTAACTATACGCACAATGTTGTACAGCAGATCTCTAGAAATTTTTCATCTTGTATAACTGAAACTTTATACACACTGAACAGCAAATCCCACATTCCTCCTGCCTGCCCCGGACACTGGCAACCACCGTTCTGTTTCTGTCTATGGATTTGACTCCTTTCGATAACTTTTATAAGTGGAATCATGTTGTACTCATTTTTCTGTGACTGGCTTATTTCACTTAGCACAATGTCCTCCCTGTCCATCATTTTGTTGCATGTGACAGGATTTCATTCTTGTTTAAGGCTGAATAATATTCCATTGCATGTATATACCACATTTTCTTTACCGATTTGTCCATTAGTGGACATTTAGGTGGTTTCCATATCTTGACTATTGTGAATAATGCTGCAATGAACATGAGAGTGCAAATACCTCTTTGAGATCCTGATTTCACTTCTTTTGAAATAAATACCCAGAAGTGAAATTGTTGGATTATACGGTAGTTCTATTTTTCAATTTTTTGAGGAACCTCCATACCGTTTTCCATAGTGGCTACACCGTTCTACATTCCCATGAGCAGTGCACAAGAGTTCCAATTCTCCATATCTTCATTGACAGTTCTTATTTTTATTTATTTACTTTTTTGAGACAGAGTCTCACTGTGTTGCCTGGGCTAGAGTGCCATGGCGTCATCCTAGCTCACAGCAACCTCAAACTCCTGGGCTCAAGCGATCCTACTGCCTCAGCCTCCCGAGTAGCTGGGACTACAGGCATGCGCCACCATGCCCGGCTAATTTTTTCTATATATTTTTAGTTGTCCAATTAATTTCTTTCTATTTTTAGTAGAGACGGGGTCTCGCTCTTGCTCAGGCTGGTCTCAAACTCCGGAGCTCAAACAATCCGCCCGCCTTGGCCTCCCAAAGTGCTAGGATTATAGGCGTGAGCCACCACGCCCGGCCAACAGTTCTTATTTTTGTTTTGGTTTTTATGATGACCATCCTAACAGATATGAGGTAATATCTTCTTGTGGTTTTGATTTCCATTTCCCTAGTGGTTAGTGATGTTGAGCATCTTTTCCTATACCCATTGGCCATTTGTATGTCTTCTTTGGAGAAATGTTTATTTTCGTCCTTTGTAAGAGCAGGAATTTTATGTCTGTTTTGTCACTGTTGTATTCTAAGCTCCTATAACTACCTGACAAATAGTAGATGCTCAATAAATATTCAATGAATGAATGAGTGTAGTGAATGAATGAGCAAGTGAATGAATTGCATTAATACTTCCTTAACACTGCTGCCTTAAGAGCTGCTTTTGTGCTCTTTTTTTGTAGGGGGTATTCCAAGCCTGGCTTTGTGGGCAACTCCTGCTTCTGCACGTTCAGATTCTCTTCCTCACACTCACCTCCTCTTCACCACTCTAAGCCACTCTCCAAATTACTTGTTTTGTAACTTGAGTACATTATATACCTATATAAGCTTATTGAATCTCAGTATCTTTATTGGTCTGTGGAAACAATTACATTACATCCTTTCCTCCTCTGTTAGCTCCACTATGTTTCCAGTTTCCACCTTTCTCATTTCCATAACATTCTCCGTGTGTGTCCATTCCCCCGCACAACAAGCTGCTTAAAGTGGAGGGATCAGTTCTGATCTTCTCCCATTGACCAGTGCAGTGGCTCATACAGACATGTGAAAGTGTCCATTGCCTGTTTTGAAATGAATGTGATGTAACTTTTAAAAATTAATGGAACTTTCCTAGAGCAATTTTACATTCACAGCAGAATTGAGCAGGAAGCCCAGAGTCCAGAGAGTCCCCAGACACTCCTCCCTGTCCCCTAGCCTCCCCGACTACAGTGTCCTGCACCTGTGGTACCTTTGTTACAGTCGATGGGCCAGCATTGACACGGCATCGTCACCCAGAGCCCACAGTTCGCATTAGGGTCACTCTTGGTGTTGTACATTCTGTGCGCTTGGACAGATGTATGATGACATGTCCACCATTCTAGAATCATACAGAGGAGTTTCACTGCCTTAAGCATCCTCTGTGCTCCACCTGTTCATCCCTCCTGCTCGTCCTTACTCCTGCCAACCACTGACATTTTTACTGTCTCCATAGTTTGGAGACGTTTTCCAGAACATTGCATAGTTGGGATCATATAGTATGTAGCCTTTTCAGATTGGCTTTTTTGACTTAGTAATAATGTGGTTCAATTTTGAGTTGTCTTGGCTCTATGAAGTTTGATATTTTTGTCTTCCTCTGACTAAAGTTACTAATGGATGAAGAATGAGTACCCTCTGAGTTTCAGGGGCAAAAATATAAACTGAATAAGTAGCTATACAATGAAATATTCACTTGACTGTTCATGATATTTAAGGAATTAAGTGAACGTATTTACTTCCTGCTGTGTTCTCTCCCCTCTGTCTAAGCTTGCCATGAAGTGGATGATTCATCTGTTGTTGGATTAAAGTATTTGCTTCTTGGTGCCATACACAAATGTCTAGGCAACTCAGAAGATGCTATTCAGGTAAACTGTTAATATTGTCATGGCTAAATCCTGAACACCTACATGTGTGCTTGTGAATAAGAAAAATTAAAAAGCATTAGACAAAACCAAACCTCCCACTACAATATGCACTTTATCCACTTTATTTGATTAAAGCCATCTTCTCAGATGCCGGAAGCTGGTTAAGACTAGTTTTTAACATAACTTCAGATTCTTAGATCACTTCTTTATATTTGGGCTTCTTTTCTAGCACTCGCTATTTATCAAAAATGACAGACAGTCTCAACTGCAGAGGGGAGGAAATGAGGAGGCAGGCAATTTTGAAGGAGCAAAATGAGCTTCATAGTTAGACAAAACCAAAAATGATCAGATGGAATGTTCAATGTATGTTCACTTTTCTCTCTATGAAACTGCAGATCACTGATGCAGTACTGGAAATGAGATCTAGAAAGTTATTAGCTTAGGATAGTCTAGTACATATTATATGAAAAAGAACCATTAATTATTTTCAGATATAGTTGGAGGGCTTTTTCTATCCAAGTTTTTGGTTTGGTTGGTTTTATTGAAGAAGTATATCCCAGTGTCACTTTGACTACTCTTTGAGAGTTCATGTATAGTATTAGGAGACTTTTGGCTTTTAAATCTTAGAATGTTAATGTACTTGGATTGTAATTTTAAATTAATCTTTCAGGATGGGGTTATGATAGTTATTACAAGCTCTAAATAGCTTATTTTAGATAAAATGCTTAAGTGCTAGCAAGATACAATCAAGACAAATGTCAAGAGATGGTTCTTGGCTTGTGTGCTTTCTATTTTAAATATTGAAATGGGATGTTTAGACTTTTAGATGCAGATAAAGATGCTCTGAGCAATAAAATCAATAGAGGCTGGTGTGTCCACTGGAAAAATAAGTAGCACAAATTAGGCAGACTGATAGCATATTCTGGGGAAAGCTTCCAGACAAAAATGTAGAGAACATCTGAGATATGGATGGGAAGGAATGAAGATGAGGAAAGAAGAGAAAATCTGACCTCGAAAACAAAGAAAATGAGTCCCCCTTCCCACCTCCAGAAGACTGTGATAGGTAGGAAAATGAATTCATTCCAATAACATGTGTATTATTTCAGTTCTTTCAGCGAGCTGTTAAAGATGAAATGTGTCGTCAGAATAACTTATACGTTCAGCCGTATGCCTGCTATGAACTTGGCTGTCTTCTACTAGATAAACCGGAGGTAAGAGCATATATA